GAGTATAGGAAATCTTTTTAAAAAATTAATATATGGATACCCTTTCTAAACAAGAGCAATTCCAAAGCCAGAAAGGAAAAGAATTTCAGAAAACTTAGAGCGGAGTGGCTCATGCCTGTAATCTCAGCACTTTGGGAGGCCAAGGCCAGCAGATCAGATTAGGTCAGGAGCTCGAGACCAGCCTGGCCAACATGGTGAAACCCCATCTCTACTGTAAATAAAATTAAAAAAATTAGCCAGCAGCTACTCGGAGGCTGAGGCAGGAGAATTGCTTAAACCTGGGAGGAGGATGCAGTGAGCCGAGATCACGCCATTGCACTCCAGCCTGGGCAACCAGAGTGAAACTCTGTCTAAAAAAAGAAAGAAAAAAGAAAGAATATCAGCCAGGTGTAGTGGCGTTTGCCAGCAGTCCCAGCTACTTGGGAGGTTGAGGCATGAGAATTGCTTGAGCTAGGGAGGTGGAGGTTGCAGTGACCTGGGTGACAGGATGAGACTCTGTTTAAAGAAAAAAAAATTGGTTATAGCACACAACCTCACTATATACAAGGGAAAATATAAGTAACGACTTGTGAGAATATGCTGTATTTGCAACATATTTGCATAAAATCCCACTACATAAAGAGCTTCTACAAATTAATAATAAAAACATAGGGCCCCTAAGAGAAAAGCGATTCATAGCAAAGTGTTTCATAGCAAAGGCTATGATCATTATTTCACAGAAGATAGACACTAGTCAATAAACAGTTTCATATTCTCATAAAGAGTATATTAAAACAAGATATCACTTTACCTCACAATATGGCAAAAGTTAAACTTTGATAATATGTGTTATTCATTCAGTCAATAAATATTCACTGATCACCAGTAGTAGTCATTATGGGTACAACGATGAACAAAATAGTGTCTAGACTCATAGTGCTTACAGTCTAGTGATGTAATCACTAACAAAATAATCACACGAGTGTAAGTATATAATTACAAATGTAATTGCAAGTTAAGTACATGCTAAAGAGAGTAAGTCTAGGGTATAATCATCGGGACCTTAGTGATTACAATGGGATCAAAGAACGCTTCTCTAAGACTTGCTTGGGCTGAAATATAAAGGATGACCTGAAAGGAACTAATGAAGTTATAGTGTGAAGAGACAGATAGCTTTTATTTTAGACAGAATTAATGTGCTCAAAGGTCTTAGCACATGGCATTTGAGGAAACAAAGTGCATTTAGAGAGGAGGAAAGTAACATAAGAAAAGCTTGAAAAGATAGGAGTAAGATCATGCAGTCTATGGACCATGTCAGGACTTTCGGTCTTGACTTGAAAACAACTAAAAGTCATCAAGTTATGTTAAGCAGAATATGAGCAGAATTGCTTTATAAAAATCAGGCTGACTTTGGTGTGAGGAAAAGATACAGGGAAATGAAGTGAAATCTTTGGCAGGATTCCAGGTTAAAAATGATAATTTGTACAATATTAATAGTTAAGGTTAAACACACACATCATTCTCTACATGTCCCCAAATCAATTTTCTTCTCTTCTAAACTTCATCGCTTCAGTGAAATGAAATCGCTAAGAGAACTGGGTAAGTGACCTGTAGTGTAACTGGAAACTGAAGTCCTAAGAGTGGACAACCGTGGTATAAGAGGCTTTAAAGAATGAAATTCTGTAAACATATCACCCAAACAAGAAACTTAGCTCTTCCTTCCCTTTCATATAATTGGATGATATCCAATTCCTCACCCACTCCTTTAGAGTTTCCCTTTAAATTGTTTCTTAAATCAGTCCCCTGAATCCATTCTTTCTCTCAGCATCAGTTCAGATTAGTTTCCAGAATATTTGCCTCTAATGATCTTTCTTCCTTCAGTTCACCCTCAACACAGGCAGGAGAATGCAAATATGATCATGCACACCCTCCTTAGAGTGTTAACGTGTCTTCCCAGCTCACTGAGCAACATCCAGGTTCCTTCACAAGGACTCCCTTTTTCACATTCACGTCTTTTCACCAGGCCAGTGAATTTCCTCTTGTTTTGCTCTCTTCCATTTTGTATAATGGGTTGTTTTTCTTTTTTGTCTCTTTTTCATAAACTGTTCCCTCGACCTGGAACAATACTCCTTTGATTCAGTGGGTTGACTCTTCCCTAACGTCGTATTTCAGCAATACAGTTCCTCTCCCCTCCTCCCAACTGGCTCAGAGTTGGTGTTCTTCAAGGATGGGGTGTCTGGCTTGCTTCCCCAAACCTCTCCTACGTATCCAGGACAGTGCCCCACACAACGCGGGGAGTAATGGCACCCCCAGGACACTGGGCGTCCAGACCCTGTAGATGCAATCCAGCACCTCCTTCCAGAAGGCTTCTGCTGGAGCACATGAAAAACTAGGACTGCTCCAGTGGCTGCTTTCCTTCTCAGGTAAAACGCTCTAGCGGCTGAGTTCCTTCTCAGGTAATGCAAGACTGCTGGGGGGGGGCGGGGTTCCCAGAGGGAGAAGCCGTGGCTGTGCTGGTACCAGGTAGAGACTGGGCCGCTCCATAAGGCCATAAGGGACTCAGAGTCTCATCCTCTGAGACCACTGTTTCAAGGTGACCTGGGAGCGTTGGACGGATTCTGGTTATTACATTTATCTGAAGCCAAAGTGTCGGTTGTTTGAACCAGAGCAATTCCATCCTGTTTTTGTTGTTGTTTTGTTTTTTTGAGATGCAGTTTCACTCTTGTCACCCTGGCTGGAGTGCAAATGGTGTAATCTTGGCTCACTGCAACCTCCGCCTCCCGGGTTCAAGCAGTTCTCTGCCTCAGCCTCCCAAATAGCTGACATCATAGGTGCCTGCCACCACGCCCGGGGAATTTTTGTATTTTTAGTAGAGACAGGGTTTCACCATGTTGGCCAGGCTGATCTCAAACTCCTGACCTCAGGTGATCTGCCCGCCTCGGCCTCCCAAAGTGCTGGGATTACAAGCATGAACACCACGCCAGCCAACTCCATCTTAAACAGGCGCTGGGTAAAATAGGCTGAGGCATACTGGGCTGTGTTCCAAGACGATTAGGCATTCTAAGCCACAGTATGAAATAGGAGGTCAGCATGAGATACAGATCATAAAGACCTTGCCGACAAAAATGTATAGTAAAGAAGCAGGCTAAAACTCACCAAAACCAAGATGGCAATGAGAGTGACCTCTGGTTGAGCTCACTGCTACATTTCCACTCTAAGAGGCGGTTGAACCAGAGCAACTCTATTTTGAGTAGGGGCTGGGTAAAATAAGGCTGAGACCTGCCGGGCTGCATTCCCAGGAGGTTAAGGCATTCTTAGTCACAGGATGAGACAGGAGGTTGGCACCAGACACATCCCATAAAGACTTTGCTGATAAAAGCGGTTTCAGTGAAGAAACCGGCTAAAACCCACCAAAACCAAGATGGCGATGAGAGCGACCTCTGGTTGTTCTCGCTGTCCACCAGGGCTATGACAGTTTACAAATGCCATGGCAACGTCAGGAAGCTACCCTATATGTTCTAAAAAGTAAGAGGCATGAATAATCCACCCATTGTTTAGCATACAATCAAGAAATAACCAGGCCGGACGCGGTGGCTCAGGCTTGTAATCCCAGCACTCTGGGAGGCCCAGGAGGGCGGATCATAAGGTCAGGAGTTTGAGACCAGCCTGGCTAACATGGTGAAACCCCATCTCTACTAAAAATACAAAAAATTAGCCTGGTGTGGTGGTGCACACCTGTAGTCCCAGCTTCTCCGGAGGCTGAGGCAAAATCGCCTGAACCCGGGAGGCAGAGGCTGCAGTGAGCTAGATCGCGCCACTGCACTCCAGCCTGGGCGACAGAGACTCGAGAAAAAAAATAACCATGAAAACGCGCAACCAGCAGCCTTCTGAGTTCTTTAATCCTTTACTTTCCTAATAAACTTTTTTTCACTTTATGGATTCGCCTCGAATTCTTTCTTGTGCGAGATCCAAGAATCCTCTCTTAGAATCTGGATCCGGACCCCCTTTGCAGTAGTAAAAGGTCTTAGACCGAAGGACCGACTCCACAGTCGTTCTAAAGAACCCCAGCTGTTTAATCGCGGCGGTCTCGGCGCATGCTGGGCCCCAGCGGGTTCTGGGAAGTGTAGTCGCCTGAGTCTCCAGTTCCTTGTCTCTGGGCAGAGTGTGCCCGCCAGCGAGGCATTGTGGGAGTCGTAGTAGGGGAGGGAAACCCTATGCCGTCTCGCGTGGGCCGCAGAGGTTTTGGGGAAGGCAGTCGCCAGAGCCTTGCGTTGTCGCCTGGCTTTGCGCGTGGCGCGAGGAACTCTGGCAGAAGTAGTAGGGGAAGAAAGCCCTCCGCTCTTTGGCGCAGGGTCGCAGGAGACTCTGGGAAGTGTAGTTGCCTCAAGCTCGCCTTCTTTGTCTTTCGGTGTTGGGCGCGTGTACTCGAGGCACCCTGGGAATTGTAATGGGGTGGGGAAAGCCATATGCCCTCTCGCGCGGCGCCGCGGTTGATTCTGGGAAGTGTAGTTGCCTGAGTCCCGCGTTCTTTGTTTCTAGGCTAGCTGTGCGCGTGGTCGCGAGGCACTCTGGGAGTTAAATAGGAAAGGAAACCCCAGTGTAGTCTCTTGCGGGGACCGCGGTTGTTTCTGGGAAGTGTAGTGGCCTGAGTCCCACGTTGTTTCTCGGTTTGTTGTGTGCGCGGCCGCGAGGCACTCTGGGAGTTATAGAGTAGGAAAGGACAGCCCTGTGTACTCGCTCGTGGGGGCCACGGTTGTTCCTGGGAAGTGTAGTGGCCTGAGTGTCGCGTTGCTTCTTGGCTCTGGGCGTGGCCCGAGACCCTCTGGGAGAAAAGCCCTATGCTCTCTCCGCCCGGCCGCGGGGTTTTCTGGGAATTGTAGTCGTCCCAGGCCCTGGTTCTTTGTCTCCTGGCGTTCTGGGCGTGGCAGCGAGTCGTTCTGGGAGCTCCAGTAGGAAAAAAGCCCAATGCCCTTGCGCGCAGGGCCGCCGTGGTTTCTGGGAAGTGTAGTTTCTTGAGGCCGGCGGCTGGTTGGGGTGACGTCCCCGAGGCTTCTGAAGACGCAGTTCTTGCGACTCCCGCCGTGGGGCCCTCGGGGGCGGTGCCGAGAGTCTGGCCTGTGTTCACTGTGGCCAAGGGAAGGGGCCCGCCCTGTCTGCGCCGGATGACCCCGGGCGTTGACCGGGTCCGGAGCCCCGGAACGCTACGCCCACCTGGCCGAAAGCACCAGTGAAACGCGTTTTCCTGCGGCCGCTGTTAGGTGAGGGGTTCTGGGGAGGCAGCGCCGTCGCGGGAAGAGAACGCCCACCCGCGTCAGTGGTCCAAGCGCGATGCCTCAGGGCGCCCCGCTTTCTGCGTGGGAAGGAGGGAGCAGCGGCCGCGGGGATCCCCCGTGGGGGATCTGGTGACTGGAACTCGGCCTGGCTGGCCCGTTCGCTCAGGGCTGCGTTCTCTCTCTGCCAGGTCTGCCATTTTACACTTTTCTGATCTCCTCGGTCCCTTCTGTGAGCTATGTCTCAGGTAAGCTGATGATACATATATACGTGTCTGTACACACGGTTTTTGAGAGAGAGAGACAGGGTCTCCTCCTGATGTCCGGGCTGGAATGCAGCGGAGCCAGTCCACTCAGCCTGCTTCCTCTTTTCTCTGTGAAGTATTTTTCAGGAGTTGGGACGTGGCTTGCTTTCTTCTAAAACTACCTGCCTAGCAGAACCCAGGACCCTGTCCCCTGTTCCTCCTTTTCAGTTGTTTGTACTTAAGTATGCATAGAGAGAGTGAAAGAACGCTATCCAGATAGCGCGGGGTTTCTGACCTGGCTGGTGCGTTTTAGGGTGAGAGGGTAGGATGCCAGCTGTTACATTGCCTCCTCTTTCCACAGTGTTAGAACGAGGAGTGCCTTATGTTACTCCAGTGCCCCTTCATTCATTTATTATGTGTTTACCGAACCTCTACTTTGAGTGGTTCTCACTGATCCTTGGACCAGCAGTATCAGCATCTGAGAACTTACTAGAAATGAATATTCTTGAGCCCTATCCCAGACCTTCTGAATCAGAAACTGGGAATTTGGCCCAGCAGTCCAACAGTCTTTCCAAGTGATTCTAATGCACAACTCATTCTGTGTCTCGAGGATGCAGAAGTGAGCAAAACAGAATCTCTGAACCCATAGCTCATTTTTCAGACATGACATTACATTTCTTGAGTAAGGAACACTTATTTTTATTTTGATTGGGGCCAAGTGCTTGGCTGGTAATTGTGCTTCACAGCGGTGGGGATAACAGGGTCCGCTATTCAAAATGAGTCCCTCATTTTCAGTTCCACTTCTTTGTCCTATTTTTTGTCATACTTGTCTCCAAATTCAGAGGCTCTCTGAGTTTTGCTGGGGAATCTGATTTCCACCTCTGCTGCAGATCTTGCTGTTTAGGAAACAGTTGCTTTATTAGTCAACAGTCTTTAATCACTTTTTTATTAGACTTCAAAACTGTAAAATGTAACTGCCTTACATCTGAGGGTGCTACTAGTTTGAGACGTTTTAAATTCCCATTCATGCTTTATAGATTAATGTGGATCACTCAAGTGGTGCAAAACCAGGCTGGAAAGAAAGGGCTTATATATTATTCCCCCTAACTCTGAGGGAAAGTGCTTTAAGTTCAGTCCTGAGAGCTATTACATTCTCTTCTTGCAGAATCAACATTCTTTATTGCTTATTTGCCTTGTTCTATGACATTGCTAAAATTACCATTAAGTTTCACAGGTATTTCTTCAGCATTAGGGATGACTGCGACAAACTTGAGACTGTATGCTCCGTTTGAAGGGTGCTGCTGTTATCTGCTGTAGCCAGTTATTACTCTGAAGAAATTCTGGTTGAATTATATTCAAATAGGCTGGTATTAAGGAAAATATATATTGCTTATTAAACATAAAGGAATACTACAAAATCTTAAGAATTTTTACAATCAATATTAAAAATCCATGTTATTCATGGCTTCTGAAGACGCAGTTCCTGCGACTCCCGCAAAAAACGTAAAAAAAAAACGTAAATTATCTGTCCTGAGAGAATTTACGTTTTTTTTTTTCCTTTTTTTCCAGTTATACAATGAAACACAAAAGCTAGGCTCTTCATTATATAATTACTCAGAATTCTGAAAACTCATTGTTACTAGACACATTGTCTAACCTCTACAGTGATACTCATTTTATTCCTTAATAAGGGAGTTTGGGGACAAGGGTGCCGGCATTGCAAATATCTGTGTCATTTCAGGGTTCAGTGACATTCAGAGATGTGGCCATAGACTTCTCCCAGGAGGAGTGGAAATGGCTTCAGCCTGCTCAAAGAGATTTGTACAGATGTGTAATGTTGGAGAACTATGGCCATCTGGTCTCACTGGGTAAGTATTCCCCTTCACCTCCCTCAAGTCAAAATTTGACTTTTAGGGTGGCTGTTATAAATCATAATTATCTGGCTGAGTATTCCCAAGGGAGGTATGGGGTTTCTTAAAATTAGTTTTTAAGATGGGGACGTAACTGCACCTTATTTTAAGACATTTTAAAAACTTAATCTGACATTTCTTTTGTGGCCCCTCTTAGGATTCAAGGATTGATTTTCAATTTATTTCATTTTCTGCAAGCAGGTCTTTCCATTTCTAAGCCAGATGTGGTTTCCTTATTAGAGCAAGGGAAAGAACCCTGGCTGGGGAAAAGGGATGTGAAAAGAGATCTGTTTTCAGGTGAGTGAATTAGAAGCTGATGGGGAAGTTGTTTTTAAAACAACCCAATTAGTCAATGAGAAAGCAGTACTTTTTTTTTTTTTCAAGACATAGAGTTTTGCTTGTTGCTGGAGTGCAATGCCTCGATCTTGGCTCACTGCAACCTCCACCTCCTAGTTCAAGCGATTCTCCTGCCTCGGCCTCCCATACTAGCTGGGATTACAGGTGCCTGCCACCATGCCCAGCTAATTTTTTTGTAATTTTAGTAGAGATGGGGTTTCACCATGTTGGCCAGGCTGGTCTTCAACTCCTGACCTCAGGTGATCGCCTCGACCTCTCAAAATGCTGGGATTGCAGGTGTGTGCCACCGTGCCTGGCAAGCAATACTTTTTAATATGTTGATTGGAAAATCTTCCCTTAAAGAAAAAAGATATAAAGACTGAAGTTTCACCCACAGAATTGGATATAAAGGACTGCTTCATATCCAATTCTCTCTTTTTTTTTCTTCTATATTACTTAACAGCTAACATACTCAACCAGTTCTCACCTTATACTTTCTCACAGATACCTTTTTTGTTTCCATTGTTCTGTCTGGTCTAATTTCATTTCTTTTTGGTTTTTCCTTCCTTTCTTTCTTCAAATTGACATATATTTGTATTGCCTAAATTCAACCTGAGAAAGAAAAAAATAAAAAACAAAATTAAAAAGTACACATATTGCTTTTCTATTTAATCATCTTGGAAGAATTAACTCATAACTCATTAACTGATGTTTATTTATTCCTTCACATGCACTCTTAATATCTACAGAAATTTTAATCTTGTCAAATCTTTCTTAAGACTTTCTTTTAAGTGCTACAGAGACTAGAGGACATACAAAAGTATAATAACTATAAAGGAATTCATGGTCTAGTGATGTGTCTAAATAACTTGCATTAGATATCCTCAAATTAGTAGTTCAGCAATGAAAAAAGAAATTTCCTGTTGGTGTTTTAAGCTTCGATAATTTGGATACAGATAGTAGTAGAGAAACAAAAGACAGAAAAAGGGTCAGTTTTGGAGAAAAGGTGATAGAATTCTGTAAATTCAGAATTTTGTAAGTTCTGCAAGTTATGTAGTTGATTCTTAGCAAATGTTTAATGAAGGTACACTGATTTTTAGAGGAAAAGGAGGAATGCATACATTCTAGGAGGCAGCAGCTTAGGACTGATGAAACAGGTGCCATGAAAACTGAGCTGTAGCTTTAAGGAGAGTAGTGGTAGTTAATATGAAATGCTATAGAGTCCCTTAGGAGAATGTAGGAAGGATTTGTAAAGGAGGTACTAATGTGGGCTGAAGTCATGAGGTGGAACAAGTGCGGGGAAACTTTAAGTGTGAGTGAATGAGGAAAAATGTCCGTTTTGATTAAAAATAAAACCAATAAAAGCATGTACAAGGGAAGTGAGGAAAAAGGAAAACATGGAAGTTGCCTCCAATTCTACTACAAGCACTTAACAGAGTCTTGAAATTTTTATGTGTTCCTTCCAGTATTTTGAAAATTCTTTTCATTGTGAAATATGACACACAGAAGTAATACATGAACATAAATGTACAGCTTAATAAATTATTATAAGGCAAACACCCCTGTAATCAAGGTCAACAAACACAACACTGCTAGGTTCCTTGAGGCTTCTGTGTGCTCATCCTAATCCTCCAATATAGGTAACTATGTCCTTTTATGGTAAAGTGGCTTCCTTGGTTTTATCGTTTCATCAGCTGTTTGCATTTCTATTCACTATAGGTTTGTGTGTTTGTGAACTTTATATAGAAAGATTTATAATGTATTTATTATATTGATTTGTGTCTCCAAATTACTTTTCACACGTTTTTGGCTGTGCATGGTGGCTTATGCCTATAATTCCAATACTTTAGAAAACTGAGTTGGGAGAATCACTTGAGGCCAGGCGATTAAGACAAGCCTGGGCAACATAGAGAGACCCTGTCTCTACAGAATTTTTTAAAAAGCTAGCTAGGCATGGTGGCATGTGCCCATAGTCCTGGCTACTTGGGAAGCTGAGGCAGGAGAACCACTTGAGCCTAGGAGTTTGAACTATGATTGTGCCACTGCACTCCAGCGTGGGCAACAGAGCAAGATCCTATTTTTAAAAAAGTTTAAAACATTTTTAATGTAATTGCTCTAATAGTTTTTTTTCATTGTACAAGTAAGTATACCACAATTTATTCATTTTACTAATGGGGGATTCTTTTTTTTTTTTTTTTTTTTGGGGGATGGAGTTTCGCTCTTGTTACCCAGGCTGGAGTGCAATGGCGCGATCTCGGCTCACTGCAACCTCCGCCTCCTGGGTTCAGGCAATTCTCCTGCCTCAGCCTCCTGAGTAGCTGGGATTACAGGCATGCGCCACCATGCCCAGCTAATTTTTTGTATTTTTAGTAGAGACGGGGTTTCACCATGTTGACCAGGATGGTCTTGAGCTCTTGACCTCGTGATCCACCCGCCTCGGCCTCCCAAAGTGCTGGGATTACAGGCTTGAGCCGCGCCTGGCCTGGGGGATTCTTAAGTTGTTTGCAAATTTAGAGATATTGCAAGCAGTGTTGTTACTGTGCCTGTATCTGATAAATATTGGCATAAGTTTCTCTGTGATATATATGTAGGACTGGAATTGCCAAGTTAGAGGATAATGCACCTTTTCTGTGTTACTAGATAATGCCAGAATGTTTTCCAAAGACCCTTTACTGATTTATACTCCCACAAACACAATAAGTAAGTGCCTGTTGGATGTCATGATTTTCACCTATCAGAAGAGTGTACAGTGATAGCTTGTGGTTTAAACTGGCAGTCAGACTGTTGATGAGGTTAAGCACCTTTTCATATTTTTTTGAACATTTAGGTATCTCCATCTGCGAAGTGCATTGTGAAGATTTTTGCTTATTTATCTATTGTATTCTTTTATTGATTTGTAGAAGTTATATATTTTAGATAATCCTTTGCTAATTATATGTTTCAAAATCTTTCACATGTAGCTTTTTTTTTTTTTAACCTTCATAGCTTCTTTTGATGGACAGAAATTCTTAATTTTAGTGTAGCCAGATGTATCAATCTTTTCCTTTATGTTTAGTATTTTTTTTAGCCTGTTTAAGAACTCTTTCTCTACTAAGGAATTATGATGAAGACATCTTCCTATATTTTCTTTTAAAAAAGCCTACTTGTTTTGCCATTCACATTTAGATCTATGGTTCACTTTATTTTGTCATGTGAGTTAGTAGTCAACTTTAGTATCTTCTGTATGGAGTTCTAGTTATCATAGTACCATTTATTGACATATCAATCGTTTTCCTCACTGTTTTGAAATTAGTTAAGTGTCACTTTTTGTGTCTGTATGTTTCTAGGTTCTCAATTCCCTTTTATCTTTCTCTTTGCTCAAATCTATACAGCCTTAGTTATATATTTAATGATTAACATTTTATTGTATTTGTGTTACCCCTGTACCTTTTTTGTCTCTGAATTATTTAAACAGGACTACCATTTAAGAGTTGCTGCTGCAACCTAGTCTAAATCTAATCATTACCTGAACTGTGTAGGTATCCAGGGAGCCGAGGGAGGTAGACAGACTGGAAATAAATTAAAGAAGTAGACTCAAAAGGACCTGGTGATTGGCTAGATGATAGCCATGAAGAAGATTGAGAAGTCATGATTGACATTACTCTTTTTGGTGGTATTATTATTTCCTTAGTAAAACAAGAATCAGCAAGTTTGTAGGGGAGGGGAAGATTATATTAATTTGAGACTTGAGTTTTTGGTCTCTGTGGGATACGAGGATATAAATCCAGTAGGCAATTGAGTATCATATTCAAGAGGTTTCAAATGAATATTCCTAGGCCCCACCCTGGAAATTCTAAAGTGGTAGGTTGGGGTGGAAACAAATAATTTGCATTTTTTTCTTTTTTTGGCTAGTCAAAAAAATCAGTGGGAGTGGAGGAGAAACAAAGAAATCTATAACTAGTTGTAATCAATTAGTTGTAAAGACCACTGCATTCAGACCAGCCAGAATTTGCATTTCTAACAAACTACCAGATGGTGCTGATGCTGAACTAAAGTAGACATTTAGGAGTGATCTGCACAGCTTCATAAAATTTTGAATTGCCAGGCACGGTGGCTCATGCCTGTAATCCCAGCTGAGATGGGTGGATCACGAGGTCAGAAGTTCAAAACCAGCCTGGCCAACATAGTGAAACTCCATCTCTACTAAAAATACAAAAATTAGCTGGGTGTGGTGGCACATTCCTGTAGTCCCAGCTACTCAGGAGGCTGAGGCGGGAGAATTGCTTGACATGAGAGGCAGAGGTTGCTGTGAACTGAGATCACACCATTGCACTCCAGCCTGGGTGACAAAGGGAAACTCTGTCTCAAAAAAAAAAAAAAAAAAAATTGAATTTTCTTTGTAAAATCCCTGCATACCTGTTGTTGTTTATTAAGCAACTTTCCCAGTTTCTTTTCTATATTGCTTCTTTACAGGAATGTTAGTGAATTTGTATATTTATATATCTCTTGTTTTTTTTTTGAGATGGAGTCTTGCTCTGTTGCCCAGGCTTGAGTGCAGTGGCACGATCTCAGCTCACTGCAACCCCACCTCCTGGTTTCAAGCAATTCTTCTGCCTCAGCCTCCCGAGTAGCTGGGATTACAGGTGTGCACCACCATGCCTGGCTAATTTTTGTATTTTAGTAGAGTGGGGTTTCACCATGTTGGTCAGGCGGGTCTTGAACTCCTGACCTTGTGATCTGCCCACCCTGGCCTCCCAAAGTGCTGGGATTACAGGCATGAGCTACCATGCCCGGCCCTGTATCTCTTAATCTTTATTATAGAAATAAAAAATATGACCAGGCACAGTGTCTAACACCTTTAATCCCAGCACTTTGGGAGCCTGAGGTGGGCAGATCACGAGGTCAGGAGTTCAATACCAGCCTGGCCAACATGGTGAAATCCAGTCTCTACAAAAATAACAGTAATAAAAGTACCTGTAATTCCAGCTACTTGGGAGGCTGAGGTGAAGAATTGCTTGAATCCGGGAGGTGGAGGTTGCAGTGAGCTGTGATCATGCCATTGCACTCCAGCCTTGGTAACAGAACAAGACTCTGTCTCAAAACAAAACAAAAAACACACCTCAGTCTTTCTAGATTTTTTCCTGCAAATATTATAATGATGTTTCTTAAAAATAATGAACTTTGGCTGGGTGTGGTGGCTCACGCCTGTAATCCCAGCACTTTGGGAGGCCGAGGCGGGCGGACCACCTGACATCAGGAGTTTGATATCAGTCTAATACGGAGAAACTCTTATCTACTAAAAATACAAAATTAGCTGGGCATGATGGTGGCGCATGCTTGTAATCCCAGCTACTTGGGAGGATGAGGCAGGAGAATTGCTTGAACTGGGATGTGGAGGTTGTGGTGCGCTGAGATTGCACCATTGCACTCCAGCCTGGGCAACAAGAGTTGAACTCCGTCTCTAAATAAATAAATAAATAACAATAATGAACTTTATTTTTTAGTACCATTACAATTCACAGCAAAATTGAGCAGACAGTACAGAATGATCCCATATCTTCCTCTCCCCACCCTACACAACTTCCCTGTAACTGACATTCTGCACTGCAGTGATATGCTTACAACAGTAGATGAACCTGCACTTACACATTATTATCACACAAAGTGCATGGTTTACTCTTGGAGCAATAGTCCATGGGGTTCGTTCTTGGTGTTGTACATGCTATGACTTTGGACAAATGTATGATGAGGTGTATTCACCATTGTCATATTACATAGAATAGTTTCACTGCACTAAAAATTCTCTGTGTTCTGCCTAATCATCCATTCCTAACCCTTGGCATCCACTGAATTTTGCTACTGTCTCCATAGTTTTGCCTTTTCTAGAATGTCGGCGAGTTGGAATTATACAGTAATGTAACTTTTCAAAATGCTTTATTTCACATAATAACACATTGAGCAGATTTAATTTACTTACATATTTATAGATTTAATTTACTCACATTTAAATTACTTACATATCTTTTCATGGCTTGATAGCTCATTTCTTTTTAGGACTGAGTAATATTCCATTGTCTACATGTTCTGCAGTTTACTTATCCATTCACCAACTTAAGGACATCTTGGTTGTTTCCAAAGTTTTGACAATTTTGAAGAAAGCACATCTGTGTCTGTATGGGTATAAGTTTTCATTTCATTTGAGTAAGTACCAAAGAATGTGACTGCTGGGTCATATGGTAAGAATATATTTAGTTTTGTAAGAAACTGCCAAACTGTCTTCCAAAGTGATTGTACCATTTTGCATTCCCATCAGCAGTGAATGATTAATATTGTCATGTGATTTTACTTTTTTATCATGATTGGTTGTTGGATTCTGCTAAGGCTTTGATTGCTTCTGTTGACATTATCATGGGATTTTCTTTTTTTGTTTTTTTTTCCAGAGACAAGAGTCTTGCTCTGTCCCCCAAGCTAGAGTGCAGTGGCATGATCTTGGCTCACTTCAACCTCTGCCTCCCAGGTTCAAGCGATTCTCCTGCCTCAGCCTCCTGAGTAGCTGGGATTACCATGCCGGGCTAATTTTTGTATTTTTAGTAGAGATGGGGTTTCACTACCTTGGCCAGGCTGGTCTCGAACTCCTGACCTCATGATCCACCTACCTCGGCCTCCCAAAGTGCTGGGATTACAGATGTGAGCCACCGCACCCAGTCGTGATTTTACTTCTTTAGTCTGTTGATGTGATGGATTACATTAACGGATTTTCAAATGTTGAACCAGCCCTGTATACCTGCGATAAATTCCACTTGGTCATGGAGTATAATTCCCTTTATACATTGTTGGATTAAATTTCCAAATATTTTGGTTTTTTGTTTGTTTATTTTTTGAGATGGAGTCTTGCTGTGTTGCCAGGCTGGACTGCAGTGGTGCAATCTTGGCTCACTGCAAACTCCGCCTCCTGGGTTCAAATGATTCTCCTGCCTCAGCCTCCTGAGTAGCTGGGAATACAGGCGCTCACCACCATGCTTGGCTATCTTTTGTATATTTAATAGAGACAAGGTTTCACCATGTTAGCCAGGATTGTCTCGATCTCCTGACCTCGTGATCTGCCCACTTCAGCCACCCAAAGTGCTGGGATTACAGGTGTGAGCCACCGTGCCTGGCCAATTTACTAATATTTTGTTGAGAATTTTTATATTTTTGTTTATGAGAGATACTGTTTTGTCATTTTCTTGTAATTCCTTTGGTTTTGATATTAGGGCATTGCTGGCCTCAGTTAGGATATATTCCTTCAGCTTTTGTCTTCTGGAAAAGATTGAGGGGGTTGGTATAAATTCTTCCTTAAATGTTTGGTAGAATTTCCAGTGAACCCTGATGTTTTCTTTTTTGAAAGTTATTATTATTTTTTGAGGCAGGATCTGACTCTGTTGTCCAGGCTGGAGTACAGTGGTACAGTCATGGCTCACTGCAGCCTCAACCTCCCTGGGTCCAGGTGATACTCCCGCCCCAGCCTCCCAAGTAGCTGGGACTCCAGGTACACTCCACCATGCCCAGCTCATTTTTTGTATTTTTTGCAGAGACAGGGTTTCACCATGTTGCCCAGGCTGGTCTTGAATTCCTAGGCTCAAGCAATCTGTCCACCTTGGCTTCCCAAAGTGCTGGGAGTATATGTGTGAGCCACTGCATGCAGCCTCATTTGATTTCTTTGCTAGATAAAGGCCTATTAAGATAGTTTCCTCCTTACTGTGTGAGCTTTGGCAATTTATGTCTTTCAAGGAATTCATCCATTTTATCTATGTTATCAAATTTGTGGGCATAGAGTTTATGGTATTCCTTTATTATCCTTTTTATGTTCATGAAGTTTGTACTGATGCCCCCTTTCATTGCTATTAGTAATATGTGTCATCTTTTTTTCTTAGTTAGCCTGGCTAGAAGCTTACTGATTTTAATTATCTTTTCAGAGAACCAGCTTAATTTGGTTGCTTTTCTCTATTAATATCCTATTTTTAATTTCATCTATTTTTTGCTCTATTTGTTTTGAGATAGGATCTTGCTCTGTCACCTAGGCTGGAATGCAGTGTCACGATCATAGCTGATTGTAACCTGAATTTCCTGGGCTCAAGCCTTCCTCCTGCCTTAGCTCTAGGTAGCTAGGAGTATAGACACATGCCAACGCTCCTGACTAAATATTTTATTTTCTATTTGTAAAGACAGAGTCCTGCTATGTTGTCCAGTCTGGTCTTGAACTCCTGTCCTCAAAGGATCTTCCTACCTTGGCCTCCCATAGTGCTGGGATCATAGGTGTGAGCCACTGCAACTGGGCTCTTTGCTCTGATTTGTATTTTCTTCTTCCTTTAATTTGCTCTTTTTAAAATTTCCTAATATTGAGGGTAGATGATGTACATTTTTAAAAGTTTATTAGTTTGATGCTGTAAGTTTTCCTTTAAGCACTGCTTTCACTGCATCCCACTGATTTTAGTAAGTTTCGCTTCATTTTCATTTAGTTCAAAATATTTTAAAATTTCTTTTTAGATTTCTTGTTCATGTTACTTGGAAGTATGCTGTTCAATATCCATGTGTTTTGAGATTTGTTAATGATTTCTAGTTTCATTCCATTGTGGTCTGACAGCACACATATGATTTCTATTCTTTGAAATTTGTTAAGATGTGTGTTATGACTAAGAATAGGGTCTGTCTTGGTGAATGTCTCTTGAGTTGGAGACGAATGTGTAATCTATTGTTGAATGAAGTAGTCTGTTGATACCAGTTGACTGATGGTGCTGTTAAGTTCAGCTATATTTTTACTGATTTTCTGCCTGCTGGATGTGTTCATTTCTGAAAGAGGGGTATTGAAGTCCCCAACTATAATAGGGCTTTTATCTATTTCTTCTTCCTGTTTTGTCAGTCTTTGCCTAGTATTTTGATGTTCTTTTGTTAGGCACATACACACTAAGGATTTTTTTTTTCTGAGATGGAGTCTTGCTCTATCGCCCAGGCTGGAGTGCACTGGCACGATCTCGGCTCACTGCAACCTCCACCTCCTGGGTTCAAGTGATTCTCCTGCCTCAGCCTCCCAAGTAGCTGGGACTACAGGCTTGCACCACCACACCTGGCTAATTTTTGTATTTTTAGTAGACATGGGGTTTCACCGTATTGGCCAGGCTGGTCTCAAACTCCTGCCTCGTGATCTGCCCGCCTCGGCCTCCCAAAGTGCTGGGATTACAGGCGTGAGCCACATCGCCCAGCCCACACTAAGGATTTTTATTTCTTTCTTTCTTGGCATATTGACCCCTTTATCAATATGCAATGTTCTTCTTTATCCTTGATATTTTCCTTGTTCTGAAGTCTGCTGTGTCTGAAATTAATTTAGCTACTCCTGCTTTCTTTTGATTAGTGTTAGTATGGTATACCTTTCTGTATTCATTCTAAATCTATATGCATCTTCATATTTAAACTAGGTTTCTGGTACACCACACATAGTTGGGTCTTGTTTTATGATGTACTCTGACAATGTCTTAATTTAGTGTATTTAGACTGTTGAGCTTTATTTAAAAAAATTTTTTTTAGAGACAGGGTCTCCCCTGTTGCCCAGGCTAGAGTGCAGTAATACAATCAAAGCTTCCTGCTGTCTCATATTCCTGGGCTCAAGAGGTCCTTTTCCCTCAGTCTCCCAATGTGCTGGGATTACAGGCATGAGGCACCATATCTAACCTCGTGTGTGTGTGCACGTATCTGTTTGAGATGGAGTCTCACTCTGCTGCCCAGACTAGAGTGCAGTGATGTGATGTCAGCTCACTGCAGCCTCTGCCTTCTGGGTTCAAGGGATTCTCCTGCCTCAGCCTCCCATGTAGCTGGGATTATAGATGCCTGCTACCACACCTGGCTAAGTTTTGTATTTTTAGTAGAGAAAGGGTTTCACCATGTTGGCCAGGCTGGTCTGGGACTCCTGACCTCAGGTGATCTGCCCGCCTTGGCTTCCCAAAGTGTTGGTATTACAGGCGTGAGCCACCGTGCCCAGCCCTCTTTTGTTTTTTATTGGGCATTTTATATGATTTCATTGTCTCTTCTTAGCATATTGATTATACTTCTTTTTTTAGTGGTTGTCCTAGAGTTTGCAATATACTTTTTTTTTTTTTTTTTTTTTTTGAAACGGAGTCTCATTCTGTTGCCCAGGCTGGAATGCAGTGGCATGATCTCACCTCACTGAAACCTCCACCTCCCTAGCTCAGGCGATCCTTCCACCTCAGCCTCCGGAGTAGCTGAGATTACAGGTGTGCATGCTACCATGCCTGGCTAATTTTTTTGCATTTTTAGTAGAGACGGGGTTTTGCCAGGCTGGTCTCAGACTTCTGACCTCAAGTAATCCACCTGCCTTGGCCTCCGAAAGTGCTGAGGTTACAGGCTTAGGCCGCCATGTCCAGCCTACATTTATAAATAATCCAAGCCTATTTTCAAATAATACTATGCCACTTCATGTGTAGTGCAAGTACCTTATAATATTTCTAATTATTTCCTCCAGTCCTTATCATCACTGTTGTCCTTCATTTCACTTATATGTAAACTATAATCACAAAATACATTGTTGTTGTTGTTGTTATTAGGAGACAGAGTCTCACTCTGTTGCCCAGGCTGGAGTGCAGTGGCACGATCTTGGCTCACTACAACCTCTGCCTCCCAGGTCCAAGCAATTCTCTGTCTCAACCTCCCAAGTAGCTGGTATTACAGGTACACCCCACCACGCCTGGCTAATTTTTTATATTTTAGTAGAGACAGGGTTTCACCATGTTGCCCAGGCCGGTCTCGATCTCCTGAGCTCAATTTGCTTGCCTTGGCCTCCCAAAGTGCTAAGATTACAGGCGTGAGCCACCATGCCCGGCCATACATTATTATTTTGAACAAACTGTTATCTGTGAGGTTAATTAAGAATAAGAAAAATATGGCTGGGTGTAGTGGCTCACACTTGTAATCCCAGTACTTTGAGAGGCTTAGGTGGGAGGATTGTTGGAGCCCAGGAATTTGAGGCTGTAGTGAGATATAATCCCAACACTGTTCTCTAGCCTGGGGAATAGAGCAAGACCCTGTCTTTTTAAAAAATAAAGAAAATATTTATTTTACTTTTACTTATTTCTTCCTAAATGCTATTCCTTTCTTTATGTAGGTCTGAGTTTCTGACCCATATCATATTTCGCCCGGGTAACAAGAGCAAA